CCTTCCAAACCCATGATGATGCGAGCATTGTGTTTGCAAATGGGGGGGGCTGCGCCCCCCCCAACCCCCCCGCTTTTTGTTGCCGGCAAGCCTGCTTCAAAGCTTACGAATCCCTTCCAAACCCATGATGCGAGCATTGTGTTTTCAAATGCGGCGGTCTGCGCGGAATATATGCTTGCTTTCCTACGAGAATTCAGAACTTCTAGTGAAAGCTGAATTTTCCGTTTAAAAATAGAGATATAAACGTCTTCTTAGTAAAGAATCGAGAAAATTGAGCTTGTGTTATGAGACGTGAACAAAAACACATGTTGTCTACGACTCACAGATAGAGATACTGCATGTACACTTATGACAATATAGAGAATTAGCTTCTCATGTATTCCTTTCTCATGTCTTCCTCGTGAAATAAAGAGAAGAAGTCTGAAAATACTGACAAAATAGTTAACTATAGAACAATAGAGGTTTTCGCTATACAATATAGAGAAATTAGTGGTTTCCTATGACAACATAGAGGAAATAGAGGCTTTCATACGAAAATATTGCGAAAATACAAAGTGTTTTCATATTAAAGTGTATGGGCTTCCGGTTAAAATAGGACAAGAGGAACAAAAACACTTTTAATTGCAAGTCACATATTGAGATAACACACAGAATTAGTTTCTCATGTATTCCTCTCTCATGTCTTCCTCATTAAATATAGAGGAAAACTATGGCGATATAGACCAAATAGAGAGAAATACAGGTTTTCGTTCTAAAATATAGAGAAATAGAGGGTTTTCGTATTAAAGTATACAGAAATTAGAGAAGCTAGAGGTTTTCATACGAAATGTAGAGAAAATAGAGGTTTTCATATTCAAATATAGAGAACAAACAGGTTTTCCTTTTAAAAATTAGAGAAAATAGAGGTTTTCATAGTAAAAAGTAGAGAAAACAGCAAAAACGCTCCGCACCCGCAGCCAAAAAAAAAAACGCGCCCCCCACGGCACCCGCAACAAAAAAAAACGCGCCCCCGCACCCGCGGCAAAAAAAAACGCGCCCCCGCACCCGCTGCAAAAAAAACAACGCGCCCCCGCACCCGCAGCTAAAAAAAACAACGCGCCCCGCACCCGCAAAAAAAACACCCGCAGCAAAAAAAAATCACTCTTACCACCCTAAACCCTGAACCCTGAACCCTAAACCCTAAACCCTGAACCCTCAACCCTAAACCCCACGAGGATCATGCGGCTGGTGGTGGATGTCTTTCTCAGCCGCGGGGAACACGACAACAACCTGGGATGTTGGACCATGCGGGTCTGCGACTTCATGGTGGAACCATGGCCCTTCAAGGGTTAGGGTTTAGGGTTTAGGGTGTAGGGTGTAGGGTGTAGGGTGTAGGTTTTAGGGTTTAGGGTTTAGGGTTTAGGGTTTAGTAGGATTCAGGGTTTAGGGTCTAGGGCTTATCGGCTTAGAGCTTTGGGCTAAGGGTCTGAGATTTCATTGGCCTTGATTTGATACAAGACCCCAGGTAGCTACTATCACTATGCCCCCCTGGAATCCGCTGCGCCCACGATACCCATTCTAAATGAAATGTCCCCTCTCTTAGGTTGTTTTTTTTTGTGTTTTGCTTCGGTGGCTTCTGGAGGCTTCGAGTCTACAGGGTTGGGCCGTGTAGGGCCCAGTACAGGCTTGAGTAGATTGAAGATATGGAGTAGCAGAACAGTTCGGGACAAGCCAAGGCGAAACCAGCTTCACCGACGCAGATAGACCTAAACCCCAAACCCCGAAACCTTAAACCTGGAAACCCAACAGCCCCGAAACGACAACAAAAACCCTGTCCCACTAAAAAGCTCAAAAGCTTTGAACAATTAAAAGAACAAAAATAAACATTTTGGCATACCTAGCTAAGGACCGTCTGGGCTGGAGTTTCGTCGTCTGCAACGTGTGCAACCTCGGGGAGGCAGTTCAGGGCTTAGGGCTTAGGGTTCAGGACTTAGGGCTTAGGGTTTAGGGTTTAGGGCTCAGGATTCAGGGTTTAGGGTGCTGTGTTTTCTTAGAGTGAGAGAAGCTGTTTCGCCCTTGAGAGTCTGGAGGCAGGGTTTGGGGATTAGGGTTTACGGTTAACTGGCTTTGGGAGGTTCTGGTGTTTCAGGGAGTTTAGGGCATGTGGTGCAAGCGGCAAGGGTTTGTTTATTCCATTTCAACCTTCTACCGCACAGCTACTCGGAGCTCTTGCCCCCACCGCCCCTCCCGCCCCAACCCCCAGGCCCTGACACCAACACCCCACAAAAAACCCCAAGCCCCAAAGCCTTGAACCTTAAACCCTAAACCCTCTGAAGCCCCTGAACCCCCTGAAGCCCCTAAACCCCCTGAACCCCCTAAACCCCTGAACCCCCGCAACCCCCCTAAACCCCCCAACCCCCTAAACCCCCTACAAGTACGAACCCTAAATCTGTCCCAAGGCTTTAGGGTAGTTACTACCCTTAGACCCCCTAAACCCTAAAGCCTAAGCCCTAAACCACCTCAACCCCCCCAAAACCCTAAACCGTAAACCCTAAACCCTAAACCCTAAACCCTCAACCCTAAACCCTCAACCCTAAACCCCCAACCCCCTAAACCCTGAACTCTAAACCCTAAACCTCCTAACCCCCCAGGCCGGGCGCTGCCGCGAGCAGCAGCTGGTCTTTCGCTACGACGGGCCCCTGAGGCAGCTGCCCGTGGTGCGAACCTTGAACACGGTGCTGGACGAGGCTTCCTAGGGGGTAGGGTTAAGGGGTTTAGGGTTTAGGGTTTTGGGTTTTTGGGTTTTGGGTTTTTGGGGCCGGGGTTGTGGGGTTTTGGGGTTTGGGGGTTTGGGGGTTTTGGGGTTTTGGGGTTTTGGGGGTTTGGGGTTTTTGGGGTTTTGGGGTTTTGGGTTTTTGGGTTTTTGGGGTTTTGGGTTTTTGGGGTTTTGGGGTTTTGGGGTTTTGGGGTTTTGGGGTTTTGGGGTTTTGGGGTTTTGGGGTTTTGGGGTTTTGGGGTTTTGGGGTTTTGACGTTTTGGGGTTTTGAGGTTTTGGGGTTTTGGGGTTCCTGGGGTTCTGGGGTTCTGGAGTTTTGGGGTTCCTGGGGTTCCTGGGGTTCTGGGGGTTTTGGGGTTCTTGGGGTTCTTGGGATTCTTGGGGTTTTGGGGTTCTTGGGCTTTTGGGGTTTTGGGGTTTGGGTTTTTTTGGGCTTTAGGCCTTCAGGCAAACCCCAAACCCTGAACCCTGAGACTTACGCGTTGATGTCTCTGCAGAGGCAGCCTTCCACGGGCTCTCTCTGCCGCCCTACTGGCTTAACGAAGAGGTGCCACTCGTCTGCTGAGCCGGAAACCTTAAAAACCCTAAATCCCAAACCCTAGAGCCAAGTTTACGCTTTAGGGATGCAAGCTCAGAGTTTAGGGCTGAACCGGAAAAGCCTAAACCCTAAACCCGCAACCCTAAACCCTAAAGCCAAGCTGATGCTTTAAGGACGTGTAGAGCTTAGGGGTCAGGGTTTAGAGCTTAGGGTTCAGGGCAACCCTTGGAGCCTAAACGTCAGCCCCAAACCATGCACCAACATCAATACCCTAAGGCCCTAACCCATGAACCTGACACCCTCACCAAGCTCCGTGAACTCTAAACCATGAAGCTCAAACTCTACCAAACTTGGGCCTGAAAAGCCATCGACCTTAAATGTTCATAGGTTCAGTGACCTATGTCCTGAATGACTAGAGCTAGCCATGACTCTTCAAGTAGAACCTAAGCCTTTCTGCCTAGTTGGATATTATGATGAAGGGCGGTTGTGAAGATTATTGCCATAAACCCAAACCATGAAACCCTAAAGGCCCTAAATCCCCAAACCTAAGCCCTAAACCTGTCGAACGAAGGGTTCCTAACCACCTAAACCCTAAACCCTAAGCCCTAAGCCCTAAACCCTAGTATTATTAGAAGAGAGAACAATAATATTCATACAAAGAGAAGTGAATAAGGAACGAAATTAATGCACTCACTTGTTTCCTTCGTTCGTTTCTTTGCAAATTAAAAAAAGAGGAACGAAGTGCATGAACGGTTAATATTAATACTAATGGGCCCTTAAACTATATTTACAATCAATAGGGCCCTTATAATGTAAGCATAAAATAGAATGAAAATAGAAGAAAGTAAAACGAAGACCAAAAGTTGGGTGAATTAGCATATTTCAGTAGCGGCCCCCGTGAATAGATTAATTATATGGCCGCACCTTGAGGCTAATGCATTCTAGTGATGAAAGGCCCTTTTCTTCACGTCTTTCCCCTTCATTTTGATAATAATATTGTACGGGAAGCCATTAATAATAGTACTTTAAGGGGGTCTCTAGGACATATTATTTTGGGTGGTGAAGAGAACCCCAAAGACCCCATTATTGCCACCATTAGCGAACTAACTTGCGAATACTTTTTGCCTGGCTCACAGACCGTCCCGTGTTGCATGATTTTATTACGGGTTCACCTGTCATGTAGTGCGTAAACCGCTCCTTTCATCACAATATGATTATAATGCACGCGCATGCCAACAAGATAATAGAACGCGTGCTACCTTAATAAAATAATAAAATGCCGCACACCCGTGTTAATTTCAAGATCAAATTGTGCGTTCTTATTACACGGGCGCAGCATGAAAACCAAACGCATAAATTGTGCGCACTTTTAATCAATAAAATCGTGAGTGAGAAGATGAAATGGAAATAGAATGCATGAGGCCCTTTTTGCCCACTTAATGGATTGGTTTATAGAAGAGCTCCTGTAACAATATTAAGATACGAACTAAAACTCCCAACCCTAAACCCTGAACCCTAAACCCTAAACCCTAAACCCACAAGTACTTGGGGTCAGTCCCAGGCTGGCGCACAAGAAGAACCGAGCCATCGAGGTGTGCCAGCAGGAGGAGGTGGAGAACCTCCAGGACCCCCGCCCTTCTTCCTAAACCCTGGGTTCGGGGTTTAGGGTTTAGGGTTTAGGGTTTAGGGTTTAGGGTTTAGGGTTTAGGGTTTAGGGTTTAGGGTTTAGGGTTTGGGGTTTAGGGTTTAGGGTTTACGGTTTCGGGTTAGGGTTTAGAGTCTATAGTTTACGGTTTAGGGCCTAGGGTTTTGGGATTTCTTACCCCTGAAGGCCCAAAAGGACCTAGGTTCAGGTTTTGGGGTTTAGGGTTTTGGGATGTAGCGTTGAGGGTTGAGAAGGTTGAGGAGCGAAGGTCTTAGGGGCTTCGGGGTGTTCAGGCTCTTGGCTTCGCCCTTGAAGGGTTTAGGGTTTAGGGTTTAGGGTTTAGGGTTTAGGGTTTAGGGTTTAGGGTTTAGGGTTTAGGGTTTAGGGTTTAGGGTTTAGGGTTTAGGGTTTAGGGTTTAGGGTTTAGGGTTTAGGGCTTAAACCCTAAACCCCCCCCCCACCCCGGTCTTTCCCGAAGCCCTGAACCCTAAACCCTAAACCATTTTTAGGGTGTAGGGCCTGGGGTCAGGGAGTCCAGCAGCTTCAGGGTTCTGAGGCTTCCATGTTGAGGAATCCCCGCGAGGGCGTTCCTGTTCTGCTGATGTTTGCAGAGTCGGGGTCCCCATGTTCGCCATTATAATCATTAGGAGGTACTAAGTTTGGAGCTCCGCCTACCCGAAACTTGGCCCGAAACCTGCTGATTTTGGAGCTCCAAGGGTCCACAAGGTAACGCCCTGAACCCTGAATCCTCTGTGTTGCGGTGGTTTTTTGGAACCTACAACCCTAAACCCTAGAGCCTAAACCGTAAACCCCCATGACTGCTTCTAGGACATCTTCGACGAGACCTTCAAGCGCATCCTGACCCGAGACCGCGTTTACGAGTACCAGGCATGGATTAGGATTGGGGTTCAGGGTTTAATGCTTGGGGCTTAGGGTTTAGGGTTTGGGGCTCAGAATTTAGGGTTCAGAATTTAGGGTTCCGGGTTCCGGGTCTTGGGTTTAGGCTCCGGAGTGTGGGGTTGTTAGGGTTCGGCTTGTCCGGCCTTCAGACCAAACCCCAAGCCCTACACAAGCAAACCCCAAAGAAGCTTTCCAAAACCCTTAGCTGCGACTAGGACCCCTTATGACCCAGTTCTTTGAGCAAAACTGAGAACGAATTCTCTCCCAGATTAGGTTCCCATGAGCGTAGTCAATTCCCCCCCTCCCCCCAAACTCTACCTAAACCCCGTCCTGTTAAAACGAGCAACCTAAGCTGGCCCAGAGGAAAGTCAAGGCCCCTCAGACTAACCTCGAAGCTCGACCCCCACCTCAAACCCTCAAACGCTCAAACCCTCAAACCCTCAAACCCTCAAACCCTCAAACCCAGAATCCTTAAGCAACGCAGGCCGCAACCAGTGAAGAGATGCCCTACCGGCTGGAGGTGGTCCATGCCTTCAGGACAGAGTTTGGGGTTTTGGGGTTTAGGGTTTAGGGTTTGGGGTTTAGGGTTTGGGGCTTGGGGTTTAGGATTTAGTGTCTAGGGTTTGGGGTTTAGGGTTTAGGGTATTTAGGGTTTAGGATGTAGGGCTCAGGGTTTTGGGATGGAGGCTGATAGTGGTCAGAGGACTACTAAACCCAAGTAGTCATGATCAGCATCATCCTCATATGGGGCTTCCCCAATTAGGGTAATAATTAGGGGTCCCCCTAATATACCCCAAATAGCATAATCATTATTCTCGGAACCCCAGACAGAGTACAGTGACAGCGCTGGATAAGAAACCTTCTAAGTTTTGGCGAGGGTACCCTCGATTTCTTAATTATGAAGCCCACTCCATTTCCGGAATTATGGCCTCCACACTTTTGAGGGCACCCTCGATCTCTTAACGAGCTTCTTAATGGGACTCGAGCTGGTAACGTTTGAAATAGTAAGGCGACGCCTTATCCATTAGGCTGATCGCTCAAGTTCTTAAGTGGGGGCTGCCCTCACTTGGGCAATCCGGCCTCTCGATTTCTTAGTTCGAGCCCTCCCCCCCCCCCCCCCCCCGTCAAGGCGTCAAATAAGAAACGCAGCCCCTCAATTTCTTAAAGTTAAGAAATCCAGCCCCTTCAGGTTCTTAAATTTAAGAAAACCAGGGGCTGGATTTCTTGAATTTGAGAAATCCAGCCCCTGGATTTCTTAAATTTAGGAAATGCAGACCCTGGATTTTTTAAATTTACGAAATCCAGCCCCTCGATTTCTTTAAATTTGGGAGGTCCCTACCCCGCGCCGCCCCTTCAAATAAGAAATCCAGCCCTCAATTTCTTAATTTGAGGGGTTTTGGGGTTTTCCCCCCCCCCCCCCCCCCCCCCCACCACCCCCCCCCCCCCCCCCAACCCTCGAACAAGAAATCCGGGTTGTGGCCCACGCGCCCCCCCCCCCCCCCCCCCTCGGGTGGTTTTGCCCCCCACCCCACCAAAATAGGAAATCCAGCCCCTCGAATTTCTTAAATTTAAGAAATCCAGCCCCTCGATTTCTTGAATTTAAGAAATCCAGCCATCAATTTCTCAAATTTAAGAAATCCAGCCCCTCGATGTCTTAAATTGTTTTATGTCTAGAAACTGATGGGCGGTTGCCAAAAACAACCAAACTTAAGAAATTTAGGGCCCAGGATGAGGGTACCCTCGATTTCTTAATTTAGTCTTGCTCTCAATTTTCGCATTTTTTATCCAGGATCCAGCCGCGAGCATGCTCGTTTCTTAATCCAGTGATTTCTTAATCAGTGCTGTCACTGTACCCCTATTTCGGAAATCCCCCAGATTGTGGCAGTCTAGAGCGCTCTCCTTCCTTTTTGCATTCTACCGGGGGGCGGGAGGGGTGAGCGGGGAGGGGGGGGGCCCTAAACCGTAAACCCTGAACGTGCGAGCCCTGAACCCGAACCAGAGCTCCGGAGCCTCCTCAAAGCAACTTCTCTGCAACCCTGCGGACTCCAAATCCCTAAGCCCCGAAATCGTAAGCTCCTTCATCCTAAACCCCCAAACTTTTAAACCTTCTAGGAGCGAGAATGCCGAGCTCTTCCTGAAGTTCGCAGAGCGCCGGGAGGAGTACAAGGGAGGCTGGCCCCTGAAGGCAGGTTTGCGCATTGGGGTTTGGGGTTTAGGGTGCCCCTGCAGGCAGGTCTCGCCCTCTACACCCTACACCCTACACCCTACACCCTACACCCTACACCCTACACCCTACACCCTACACCCTAAACCCTACACCCTACACCCTACACCCTACACCCTAAACCCTAAACCCTAAACCCTGAACCCTAAACCCTAAACCCTAAACCCTAAACCTAAACCCTAAACCCTACCAACCCTTAGCCTCAAAAGGTGCCCTAATACGTCCAAGACCCTCCGGGAAGCAGGCCAAGAGCTCCGGCGCGGGGAGCATGCTCAACGGCCGACTCCTGGAAGGACGCTGCGTAAGGGGTTTAGGGGTTGGGGGGGTTTAGGGCTTAGGGTTTAGGGTTTAGGGCTTAGGGCTTAGGGTTTAGGGTTTTGTCAAGACTCGCATCCCTAAGGTTGTACCCCTTCAGGTTTCCCGGAATATACTCCTAATATGGCCTGTTATTGCCTTAGGGCTCTTTAAAAAAAGGGTCCCCAAACCTAAGGGTACACAGGGGTCCAAGGGAGAGTTCCAGGAGGTTGGGGGGTTTAGGGTGTCGGATTTGGGGCTTAGGGTTTTGAATTTGGGGTTTAGGGTTGGGGTTTGATTCCTTGGCATGTGGCTCACGGGTATGATAGTCGTTGACTCTCTTGTCATCTGCTTCCAAGCTTAAGGTTTTACGCTTTGCGTTTAGGGTGAGTCCTAGGGGAGTTGCTCTCAACGCCGAACCATGGGCCATGGTTCGCAAGAAGGAGAGTCCTACCTGGCGCATGGCACCAACCCGTCGTCAGCCGCACAGCTCAAAACGAAGCATCCACCTACGACACCCGACAACCCGAACCCCCGCCCCTCCCCCACGGCCCTACAAGACCCTACTGTAGGTACCCTAAAGCTTACACGCCCCGAAAGCACCACCCTAAACCCTAGCTTAAACCCTAAAACCCCCCCCCCCCCCCCCCCCCCCCCCGAAATCTCGCTAGAAGCCCGCTCCAAGGCCGCCAATGAACCCTTGCAAACTCTAGCAAATCCTAGAAGTAAGATCACATCCTGAAAGGGGGCCAAGAACCACCATCAGCCCCAGCCCTGCTGGTTCCACATGGAGTTGGGGGTGTACGGTTAGGGTTTAAGATTTGACCCTGTCCTAGACCCTAATCCCTAAGCCGATACCCTGTACCCGAAACCTTTGACCCTAAACCCGAATCCCTCGCCCGAACCCTATCTCTGAAACCCTCAACCCTAAACCCTCAACCCTCAACCCTAGACCCTAAACCCTAGTCCCTAGACCCTAGACCCTAAACCCTAAACCCTAAACCCTAAACCCGACACCCTAAACCCTAAACCCTAAACCCTAAACCCTAAACCCTAAACCCTAAACCCTAAACCCTAAACCCTAAACCCTAAACCCTAAACCCTAAACCCTAAACCCTAAACCCTAAACCCTAAACCCTAAACCCTAAATAAACCCTAAACCCTAAACCCTAAACCCTAAACCCTAAACCCTAAACCCTAAACCCTAAACCCTAAACCCTAAACCCTAAACCCTAAACCTTAGCTCCCCGTATATGTACGACTGCACTCCAAGGCTATGGCCATCCTCAAGGGCGGATTCAAGCTGGACCACGCCGGCAGCGCCACGGGCACGATGTTCGGCAATGGGGCGGCCGGGCTGCAGCTGGTTTAGGGTTTAGGGTCTAGGGTCTGGGGTTTAGGGTTTGGGGTTTGGGGTTTGGGGTTTAGGGTTTTCCCCACATGAGCAACAAAACACATTCTCGCTGCGTGATTCGCTCGCTCGTGCTCTTCGCCCCTTTCGTTCGCTCTACTTTGGGGTTCGGCTACACGGTTCGGCCGCAGGTCATATTTACCACTTCTTCGCGGGTTAGGGTTGAGGGTTGAGGGTTGAGGGTTGAGGGTTGAGGGTTGAGGGTTGAGGGTTTAGGGTTTAGGGTTTAGGGTTTAGGGTTTAGGGTTTAGGGTTTAGGGGGTTAGGCTATCTTTCAGAGCAAGAGAATTGTAGAGAACCTTGGAGATGGTGACATCAGAAAGCCCTTAGGCAAATCTGCGGACTTCTTGTCGCCAGTTTGGAACCCTCAGCCCCAAGTCCTAAACCCTGAACCCTAAACCCTGAATCCTGAACCCTGAACCCTGAACCCTAAACCCTAAACCCTACCCTAAGTCCCAAGGTGTACCTGGCAGAGTGCGTCTCGAAGTCGGACGAGTACGCCCGCGACGACAACGGCGGAACGCCGCCCGGTTTGGGTGGTCGGGGCTCCGCCACGTCAGTTTCTTAGGGTCTGGGTAGTTAACCTTTAAAACTTTTTTGGTTATATATAATCCGTTTAGGGCTTAGGGCTTAGGGCTTAGGGCTTAGGGCTTAGGGTTTAGGGTTTAGGGTTTAGGGTTATATAATCCCTGTTACGAAAAGGCAAACCTTTTTTGGGCTAGGGTATTCATCTTAAGGTGTTGGGAGCTCTGAGGCTTTCAGGGTTTGGGAGGGTAGGGTTTGAGCCCGGAAAACTCAACAAGGGAAGAACAAAAAACCCAGAAAGGCTTCCACCAAGAAGGCCCCAAGAAGGCCCCAAAATAATTGCAAAAGTGTGCAAGAAGGCTTGGAGTTTTTTTCCAAACCTGGGAGACACCAAACGCCTCCCTCCCACCGAAAACAGAGAAACCCAAAAAGGGAGACGAGCAAAAATCTCTGGAGGGCACCACGGTTGGCCCCTTAAAGGCTTCGAAAGTTTAGGGTTTAGGGTTTAGGGTTTAGGGTTTAATTTTGGGCTCTCCTAGAAGGCATCCAAACATTTACGAAAGGTGTCCAAAAAACATCCAGAAAGGCTCCGAAAGCCTCCAAGCACCAGACTCCCGGCGTTGCATCCTCCTCGCAGCCTGGCTCAGTGAGCCGGGCGCCCTAGGGTGTAGAGTTTAGGGCTTAGGGTTGATGCGCATGGCGCATTTGCATTAGCTGGCATCGGGTCTAGGAAGGCTGTGGAAGAGCTGGTAGCTACCGGGGAGCACAAGCAATCCGCCATGTCGCCCAGTGCTCCAGCCTCAGCGTTCTGATTTTAGGGTTCATGTTGGCCCCGCCATAAAACCGCCTGTATGTGTACCCCAGGGAGTTTTGTGGGCCTCTGTGGGATAATCCTTGTAGAATAGGGTAGCAGAAGATTTCAGAACATGCCTGCAGGCTTCCGGGCCTCGCAGTCAAGCTTCGAGGTATTAGGAAGTGTGAGGGGATCGAAGCCCTAGATTGCCCCTGCGCTGCGTGGAGCGTTGCTTGGCAACCCCCAAGCGCTTGTGTGAAAACTGAAGCGATCTTCTCATGCGGCTTGTCCATGAGACATGAAACAGGAGAATGCCACATAATGCTTCAATGATGCGCCGAGGCCTGCACTTCGTCACCTGAGGCCACTTCTGGCGGAAGCGCGATGTGTTCGCCAACAACGGCACCAGACTCGGCTTGAGCGCGCACTTAGCTTGTGCGAGAATTGACGTAGACATGTGTGAGACATGTCTGATTGGATGGCTGAGGCCGCCGATGTGGAGTTGCCAGTCGAGCCCTCAGGATGTTTCCACCCGCGGCTAGGTTTGGGATGATTTGGCGCTAAACGGCTTGCTCTGTTGTATTTGCGTGCGTTTCGCCTTGTTCTCGCACAAACCGGCTTGTCGGCCTTCATACCTTGGTTTGTGGCCTTTTCAGTCGCATTCCTGCGTTTTCGACTTGTTACACTGGGTTTGTACGTTTTCAGTTGATGCCCGTGTCATCCCCTGTCCACGGTGCGTATCTTCAGTTCCGCCCTGGACGTTGTGAGCTGGGGCCACAGGTGTGTGCGCGCGTGAGAGCGTGTGCGTGGGTGTGTGGGTGTGTGCCTGCCCCGTCAGCCTGCGTGGGTGTGTGGGGGGGTGGGTTTTGTGTGTCATTTCGACTGTATGGGGTCCCAGATCTGACCGTGTAGTGGAGCAGAACCTTGCAGCTGAAGAAGACTTCTCCATGAGGTCGATGCTGGCTGGCCGTGGGACTGGGTGGTGGCGTCGGTGCAGTGGGCCAGCTTGCCAGAGGGCAGGTTGAGAATTTTGAATTCAGCTGCGTACTTACTTGCAGTAGAATATGCTTGGTTTGATTGGTATTTGCTTGGTCATGTAGGAGATCGACATGAGGAGCCTGTATGTGGCGGACTAGTGTGGTTTTCATTCTGCCGCTAATACAAATGGGACTTATGGGATCATACGTACTTTGCGGCAGCTCGGGTGAAGGTAGTTACCCAGCGCCGGGATTTATCATGTTCGAATTTGGAACCTCCGCAGGAAAGACCCGGCGCAGGCCCCAGCAAGGCCATAGCAACGCAGAACACCCCGCTGCACCAAAAGCTTACAGAAAACAAGCTCGATGCATTGAAAACGCTTCAACCCTGAATTTTCAGGTTCCTTTTTTCTTTCTCCTCATCACTCCGCACGTCCCACATACACTGCCGCAAGTCCGAGAGAACCCAAGCCCACCAGACCCCAAACTTCACGCAGGCCTCCGGCTTGCTTGAGCCCCTCTGGAGCGGGGAAGGCTTCGGCCCCAGATCATCCTGGATCTGAGTAGACCAGAACATCGGGTTCTCTTGTCTGAAAGTAGGATGTTCCCGTCATCTGAAGTGGTTCTCGGCTTTGGGGCTAGTGAACACTAACAAGAGCTGCTCCCTGCTAAAAGGGCCATCCCACAGCTCTCCAAGACTTTGAGGTTTTAAGGGCTTCTGGGCTTCTGGGTTCTCAGGTTTTCTTATCTACAGCTTGATGCTTCAGTGGTTGATATTCTCATCTCCCCGTGCTAATCTCGGTACAGAGTCGAGATAATTAGGGCAACTGCTGGGTACCATGACTAGGACTGGCAAGTAGCTGCCAATAGCTGCAGAAACTTGAGGGCTTTTGAGCCTCGCGGCTTCGGGCTCCAGAGCTCCGCGGTGGAAGGTTCGGCGGTCGAAGCCAAGCAATAAATTCTCAGCCTTGAGCTCACGAGGTGTGGATGAGGCGACGCTGCGCCGCATCGAGCGGGCCAGAGTCCCAAATTTTGGAGCGGCCCAATGAGCAAGCATGAGCAAGCATGTCTGGGTAATGGTGTTTGCGAGGTTTCCTGCAGAAACTGTGCGTTCCGAGGATGCCGAGCACACCTTCCCTTGGCTCGGACCAGACGAGGAGCAGCTGCTCGGCGAGATCCACGTGAGTGACAAGCTCGACAAAGCCCAGAGGTAGTGTCGGACTAGGAGCGGTCGTTGTACCAACCCAGACATCGCTTGGTCACCCTATAAGGATTGTCAATATTTTCTTGTCCGCTACGCATGTCGGGAACTGAGTGGGAGGTTTAACGCATTCACTGCTACAGTTGAGAAACATTGAGATAGCTAAAACCTTCAGAAGAAAGACGCGCTCATTGCGACTCCTCGAATGATGTGTTGCCCTATGCTGCTCTCTTTGGCGTGCCGAGCCGTTTATGTGATACTCATACTGCTAAGGCTAAGCTTGTTTCCGCAGCCCCCAAAATCTCACGCCCAGCTTCTCAAAGCAACCGCACATGCTGAAACACGAAGAGAAACTGGACTCCCAAACCCAAAATGCTCAGCACGCGCAGAAGGAAATGACGTTTAGCGCCCTTAAACTGGACCCTAGTTTATGGTAACCCTAAAGCCGACCCTTCAAACCGTAAACTCCTGCATGATGTATCTCTTGTCGTCTTCCAGGCCACCGGCCGACAGTGTCATACTGTCAGGTGCACCGAGCTGGGGTTGCCAAAAGGGAGAGCTGCACAACCTCCTTGCAGCATAGATCTACCAGTGATTTTCGTTCATTGCTATTTGAGAATAAGTTGCAGCGGGCCATGAATCGGCTTTGGTTGCGTCGTGCAAGAAGTCCTGCTCTGGTCATGGACAGGTGCAGGCTTGATAAGTTTTGGACCTTGTGCAGTGCCAGGGCATGAACTTCTGCGTCGGCATGCTCCTGACGGTGTCGGAGACAGAGGTCGCTTTAAAACTTAGAATGGGATAACAGGCGTGCCACGCCGTGCATAAAATGTCGAACACTCATCTCAAAGGCTGATCGTTGACTTTCAATGAAATTAGGGATCTTCACGACATGATTACTCTGACGACGCTCAGATAGAACACCTTGTCAGGCACTCTGCAAGAGCTCAATGCCCTTCACTTTCACCAGTCCGCAATCAGGGGAACCCTGCACTGTAAATTTGCAAGCTTATGAGAAGCGATGTTTTCAAAATGCACTGCCCGACTTTACTCACTTGGAACGTAAGAAGGAAAGCCCTCAGTCATTGAACAGGAGGCAATCTTCTCCGACATGGTCCGCCTCATGGAGCATTTGACATGTCTTGACACAGCCTCCGAAACTAATTATGTGCATTGAGCAATTCTTTTGGACTGAGAGGGGGGCTGGTGTCTTGAGGGAGCTCGCGCTGTGCACTTCAGAAGATTTCGCGACAGCCTGACGGGCTTCGTTCTGGGGGTGGGCGTTCTGGTCAGGATCCACACGTAAACACAGATATGCAGTACCCGTATGTGTCTGCGCCTGTATTTCGACCAATCCGCAAATTTGTTTTTACAAGTGCTTGCGTCTGAATGCCCATACAGACCTTGACCCTGCACTACCAGTTCCGGGCTCTCGCAGTGGCGTTGTTGTTCCTGACCTTCGCAAGTCTTACATGCCCTGGTCTCTTGTTTACCGAAATTCCCGCCCCCAGAAAGGCGGACTGTCTCAAACATCCCAGCACTTCCCGTTCCCGAAATGGAGGTCGATAAAATTCGCAGGCACCATCGTCCCAAACACGGGAGCCGCGCTCGGCGCATGTATGAGGACACATGCAACTCTCCGTATCTGGGCCATGGCAACGGTTGATCGTAGTGCCGGAGGATGCGCAAGCGACTCTTTGCTCTCTGTGGGAGGACTTCTGCTTCGCGGACCTGTTCATGCCTCCGTCAGGGCCATTGCGTATACATGGATTTCACCTGGACCTATTCCAGCTTGCACTGTCGCTGCCAAAGGGCAGAGAGCTGATGCCAACACCACAGTCCACGGGACCGTTGAACGTTCTGATGTCCCCTTGCCATACTTCCTGTGTGCACTCAGGTTCCCCTTGTTGGGCTATTTGGAGGAGCAGCTCGGGCTTCCTGGCTGTGTAAAGACGCTAGTCGTGCTGCTTTTAGAGGTGTATCAGCATACTTTCCGAATGACGAAGAAATGACGAAACCTACAGTCTTCAGCGAACGCGGCTGCTGACGGTTGGACGGTATCGCTGTCACCGGCGCCAGGTAGTGGAACCAGCCAGCCTTATGGCAGCAGCTATGGTGTTAATCTGAGGCATCGCTTGAAGTTTTCTTTAGGCTAGGGCTTCGGGCTTCTGTTATAATTCCAAGGCTATAGGGATTGAGGAGTTGGAGCTCCGGAGCTTGTTGGGGGCTGCCAAGATGGCACAATCAAGCATGGGGCTTCGAGGATTTGAGGCGTGCTTAATCCGCGGGTAAATGGTCTATGGAGCTTTTTTTCGCGCCGTTCCCCTGCAGAAATAAAGCACGATCCAAAACAAAAGAGTATGAATATGTATACATACATATATGTATACACATAAAAAAAAATATATATATATATATATATATATGTATATCCCATATACATATATATGTACCTCTCGAAGCTAAGGCTTGGCCTTCAACAGCAGTTTCCGTGAAATGTGAGTTGCCACATGGAAACGTTGACTTTCGTGATAAGGGACGGGGGGGGGGGGGGGGGTGATCCACGCTTTAAATAGGCACTCGGACGCTAATCTTCCCACACAGCGGAGGATGCACGTGTTTGGGGCTGCATTGATGCTCTATAGAGGAGGTTTTAAACTGGCCTGGAGTGCAGCAAGGGATCCGTTCATTCGATGGCAAAATTCGCAAATTCAAATAAGCAACCAGAAGAACGGGATGCGCGGGGAGGACCGTGCGGATGGCGCGTGAAAAGAACAGCAGACACTCAGACACGGCCTCCTTGATTCTGAGCGTCTACGGTCTGAGGGTCTGTTTTTCAGTTTG